GACGACGACGATGGTTGTCTGGACTAGTCAACAATGTAAGCTAGCCAGTTGGCTATCCAGTTGAGCTGAGCGCGCAAAGTATTTGAGATCTCGAACGGCCACTGAATATGACGTCAGCATCAAACATACAAAGTTGAGACTAGACGAGGATCTTTGATTATGTGCCCCGATATGCTAAAGCCCACATTTAAACGAACTAGCGCAAATTATAGCAGATAGAATTTCAATCAGAATAGGACACCATAGTCTGAAAAAACAATACCTATTTTTAAAAAATAATACCTCTAAACCAAATTAAACACTTTTTAATGGCCTTAAATTTGGCAATTTTGATTAATCACTTTTTAATACTTTTTAAAACCCTGCGGACACCCTGTTTTTGTTATTTTTTCAGTTTTAAGCACTGCACAAATAAAATGGAGTAGCTCTAACCTAGCTCCTCAGCAAGGTTTACCATTTACCATGCCCCCAGAAATAGCTAATGAGTGGGCCTTGAATAAAGATTTTTTTATGTCAAATGTTTCCCATGTCAATATTGTTTGGAAAAAAATTCCACTTCTTAATGGACAGCATTTAGTAATGAGAAAGATCACAGATCCACAGATCATAATTTGCCTAACTGCCTTCCCTTTGACTGCACACTCACCTGGAGCAAATGCACATATGGCAAAGGATTCTCCGGAGGAAGCAACAGAGGTCACGAGGGCTCGCCTTCTGGAGAAGTACTGGGCTAGGATGGTGACGGTGGGGACGAAGGTGAGGCAGTACCCGAGGCCTGTAAACAGAGGAGAAAAAGGGGGACATAACAGCCACTGTCCCGCATGGTAGGAACACTGCATGGATAGGGAGGTGAGTCAAAGATCATGGTGTCAGGTCGCTCCTTTGTCAACGGTGGCAGGCTGCTTAAGATGATTTGGCTTTGCTATAGCTGCTGTAGACAAAAGACAAAAGGCATGTAAAGACAAAAGAGAGACAGGGGAGAAAGGAGAAAATGTTAAATGAGACCGGCAGACATGATAATCATGGTGGGAGAGCTAGCAGTGCTTTCTGTCCAAGAAAAAAGAACAAGTTAATGTGTTCTGAGAGAAACCTCATTGTACTGATTTGTTCATCATCCAATCTATTACTGTATTCACTAAATTTATTCCATCCTTATCAGCTAGCCTACTTCCTGTTTCATCAATCCTGATATTAAAGAGAATTTAGTGTTTTTGTTTGTTTGGAGAACATTTTTGACTCCAGTTTTTCCTGATCCGCTCTGTTAATCCTTTCTAGAGAGTTAAGAGGTCTGGAGTAGATCTCACTGCATGGTGTTTTGAAGAGGCTGTTTATCTCTCAGTCACTGGAGTGTTCTAGAAGAAACAGACTGAGGCAGATTTTGTTGTTGGCACTGCTAGAGGTCCCTTTAGGTCATTAATGGCTGTTATACAAGACAAACAAATGAGCAAAACAGTCATTCTGTAAATATTAAAATGACACACAAAGACACAAGCTGTTCTCTCATATGAACTATGGACAGTGTCTGCATCAGAAGCAGGTCCGGACATAGTCCAGAGCTGCCCTTTCACACATGTAGTACAAAGTGGGAGACTATCCGTGTCAGATGTTGCATAGCTGGTTTGTAATTTGGTCATAAAAACAAAATCTATTGCTGTTCCTTGATAATGTTGGATGATTTCTGCATCGGTCCTGGCCCTTAATAGAGGTTCTCAAATCTTGTCATCTCTCCAGTAAGTCATTTTTGTTGACGTCTTTTTTATAAATGGCCATTCTTTTCCAGCATAGGATGTTTGTATTCTTCTGGTTTTGTGCCAGGCACAATAGAGTGTCATCAACATACCCATTAGCTTAGTGTGAATTCTCCAGACTATAAGGGGCTGTATTCACACATGGGCTCACTCTGACATGACGGTATTTGTATTAGGGAACTCTCAACTCAACTCAACTCAACTTTATTTATATAGCGCTTTACCACAGCACAGCTGACCAAAGCACTTAACATATTATACAAATATAAAAACAACACATAAAAAGCTATAGACAGTAATATAAACACTAACACTACAGACAGAGTGTCATTCCTGGTCAAACGCCAATGAATAGAAGTAGGTCTTCAAATAAGACTCAAAAGTGGACAGTGATGGGGCCTGCCTAATATAAAGCGGCAAGGCATTCCATAGGTTTGGACCTACCACAGCAAAGGCTCTATCCCCCCCTAGTTTTCCGCCTGGCCCTTGGTGCCTCCAGAAGAAGCTGATCTGCTGATCTGAGGCACCGCGATGGATTATACGGACACAAAAGTTCCACAAGATAAGAAGGTGCCAGCCCATTTAAAGATTTATAAACAAATAAGAGAACCTTAAAACGAACCCTAAAACGCACCGGAAGCCAGTGTACATTTATTTTAAAATTCTTGTGATATTTCTTTGTTTCCTATATGTAGCACACATTAACATAATAATCAGGGGAGATTTTCTTAAAAAGATCCAGATTTTACAACAGCATTTATCTGGCTCTCCATTCTCAAATCCGAGTCTATTCTAAAACCTAAATCATTGACAACCGATCGCACATACTGCCCCAAAAAGCCTAGGTCTACAGGAAGAGGTTCGCCAGACGTATTCTGGCCAAACACTATAACCTCAGTTTTGTCATCATTTAGCTTCAAGCAATTTAACGACATCCAGGCCTTAATATCTGCAAGACATGCTAAAAGCGGTTGGATCGAGTAGGTGTCTTTTTTGGTCAGTGGCATAATAATCTGGACATCATCAGCATAACAGTGAAAAGAGACCCCATGTTTCCTAAAGATAGAGCCAAGGGGAAGTAAATACAGAGAAAACAGCAAAGGCCCCAAAATGGAGCCCTGTGGAACCCCAGATAACAAGGGGGTTGTCACAGATTCCACATTTGCCAGCCCGACAGACACTGATCTACCCGATAAATATGACTGAAACCATGCTAGGGCAGCACCACGAATGCCCACTAAATCGTGAAGGCGAGATATCAAAATGTCATGGTCCACCATGTCAAAGGCGGCAGTCAAGTCCAGCAGGACAAGAATCACATACTCCCCTGCATCAGTGGCCAAATAAATATCATTAACAACCTTTAGTAAGGCTGACTCTGTACTATGCATGCATTTAAAACCAGACTGAAAAACCTCCAATAAATTATTGTCATCTAAAAAGGATTTCACCTGCGCATAGACCACTTTTTCTAAAATCTTCGAGATAAAAGGTAACTTAGAAATAGGCCTAAAATTACTCAATATGGATTGATCCAAACGTGGTTTTTTGAGTAGAGGTTGTAAAACTGCATGCTTAAAATAACCAGGCACAACACCAGAAGACAAACTACTATTAATAATTTCCAAGACCGTGCCTCCAATACATGGGAAGACTTCCTTAAATAAAGCCGGCGAAACGACATCTCGAGGGGAGCCAGAAGGCTTGGCCTGGGCAACCACTCCCTCCAAAAAAGTCAGAGTTACCGGCTCAAAAACATCAAAAGTAGTCACACACGGAGTAAAAACCGATGGATCGGGCACTAACCCAACCACAGTGGCCTTTATAGTAGCAACCTTCTCATTAAAATAAAATAAAAACTTATTACACAGATCAACCGTTGCTTCCTGACTGACAGGCTGCGGGGGATTTAACACCATCCCGATTGTGTTATATAATACACGTGAATCATGACTATTAGCTACAACAATACAATACAAGAAGTGGCAGAGTAAACCTGCTTAATGTCTGGGCTGCTTAACTAGGACATTTGCATTCATACTCCTCAGGGCAATGTCTACACAATTTCAGTGTTGCAGTGTCTTAAAAGGTCTACATTAACACACAGAGCTTAAGTACACTGCTCAAAAAAATTAAGGGAACACTTAAAGCACACATTGGTTTTTGAAACAAATTATTCAAGTTGAAAATCTTTACATCTGCACATTTTATAATTTGTTCAGAACAAAATAACACAACAACAGTCAATGGAAACCCAAATCACCAACCCATGGAGGGCTGTATTCAAAATTACACTGAAAGTCAAAGTGAAAAATTGAAATCATGGACTCATCCAAGTTGTGTGAATTTCATTACAGCAACTCATAATGTGACTCAGAAGTGTGTATGGCCCCCTCGTGCCTGTATGCACTGCTTACAACATCTGGGCATGCTCCTTATGAGTTGGAAGATGGTGTCTGTGGAAATCTCCTCCCAGACCTGGATCAGGGCATCTGTGAAGGTACTTGGTGCCATCGGATGCACCGATACATAATGCCCCATAGGTGCTCAATTGGATTTAGGTCAGGGGAACGTGAGGGCCAGTCAATGCCTTTTTCATCCCTTTACCAGTATTAATTTTGCCACCTGAATTTGATTTTGTTTTAGTCTTAGTCTTCTGACAAAAATGCATTTTAGTTTTAGTCAAATTTTGAGTATTTGAAACTAAATACATTCTAGTCTTGTTTTCATCAGTTTTAATTACCGTAGGTTAAATCTTCTTGATCCTGTCTGTCTACCGTTACCACGGTTACTTATGCTGTTCCCATCCAAGTTTTATTCACACATTGTTCCTCTGCTTTGCAGAAGTTGGACCCACTCACATTTGTACTAAACTCCTCTTCACTGGGTTCAGCTTGAGAAGTGACACTAAATTGTAGGATAACATTAAAACAGTCAGATCTCTGCAGCGAACATTTAGAGATGATTTATGGCTGGCTGCCCACATTAATCCTGGAACTGACTGATAGCAACACAAAAAATATCCGACTGAAAGGAACATTAATGTTACATCTACATCCACAGCGTTTCATGTTAAATTATCCTACCGTTTCATATGGCATGCTGCTGCATTTTCCTAGTGTCATTCAGCGAACTTTGTGGATTGTAGACGAATATGATTCATAAATCTGTTTCTTCCAGGAAGTGCTAATGCCAGAGACAGAACATTATTTAATGTAAGACGGAAGTGAACCTCATCAAGCTAGTTCAGCTCCTGAACATGGTGGAGGAAAGGGTTTTACTGACCAGCACCTACACTTTGTGATTCCACAGATGCAGGTCATTAAGTTACTTCATGTCCATTTTTCTGTGTTTCAAATCATCATTTACTTTTTATTCGTTGACAAAAAATGTATTTTGTCATAGTTCTCATCATCATCAAACGTTACTTTATGTTTTGTTTTCATCCTGAAAAATAGGTTGTCAATGAATATTTTTCATCATAGCTTTCGTTAAGGACATTAACACTGCCAGAAACTGCCTACACACTCCAGCCACAAGCCGGTGATACTCGATGATGTTACAGGCAGCATAATGTTCACGCCATCTCCAAACTCTTTCACGCCTGCCGCATTTGCTCAGTGTGAACCAGCTCTCATCTGTGAAGAGAACAGTGGCAGACCTGCCAATTCTGGTATTCTCTAGAAAATGCCCAGTTGAGTTGCATGGTGCTGGGCTGTTGTACGAGAGAACACTGGGCCCTCATGCCACCCCCACGGAGTCTGTTGCAGACAGTTTGGTCAGAAACATGCACACCAGTAGCCTGCTGGATGTCATTTTATAGGGCTCTCACAGTGGTTACAGTGTTCGTTCTTGCATAAAGGAGCAGATATTGCCTCTTCACTGCACCTGCTGTCACTTTTCAGTTGCCCCAAAGCAGGTGAAACTAATTCATATGGAGAGATGTAGACAAATGGACAGACTGATATCCCTGAAGTTTAAGTGACTTGGTGTTATAATGTGAGTATTAAGTGTTCCCTTTATTTTTTTTTACCATTTTAGTTTGTAAGTTCAGTAAGTACCTGAGACAATCCCAATGGTGATATACATCTCATTAATAGAGTTGGTGAAGGCAGAGGTGATGTTTCCCAGGATAATGAGGAAGCCTCCGATCATCGCTACAGGACGATAGCCAAAGCGGTTGCTCAGCATCGTGGACAGGGGTGCTGAGGGTGGGGTTGAAAAACAGAAGAGTAATCTCATTCAATTTCAGCTCAGTCGGTATCCGTATGATATCTGAACAAATTATCTTTTGAATGCTTAAAATTACTCGTGTCAGTAAGCCAGTTTCTGAACCCCCAGTTTTATTTCTCAAACTTAGTTAACATCTGTCTGCTATTCCAGTATGTATGCACCAATAACTTGCGTTCAAACTGATGGTGCACACGTGCTATATAAGCTGTTGGTTTATTATTAGGGTTATCAGTGCGTCATAGTTTAACGACAAAAAAAAAAAATTCCATGACTTATAGTTAATCTGATATTTAAAGGCACACTAAGATTTTGTACATTGTGTGATAAATCCAGTGAAAATGGGACAAGACAAAAATTTGGGGGTGATTATTGATAGCATACTTAACTTTGAGAAACTAATCAGAATATGTGTAGAGAGAAAGACACAGAGAGAAAGATACTGTAGATATCCCACCCATATATTTCCATTTCCATCTTGATTCCAAAGCAGAAACCAAGTAGGCTACTGGTTTCTGCTCATGCTATAATGCTTAGTGTTTCTTGTGTTTCAATTCTGTGGTTGTGATATTTAAATTTATTGCTTTTATTACATACTTGTGAAGTACTTTGTTATGACTTATTGGTGTTTTAAATGTGCCATTAAATAACATTTGATTTGATTGAAAGTTAAGTGACTGACCAGTGAAAGTAAAGGTGAAAACACAGATGGAAATGACCCAGGACACTCGACTGTTGCTCTCTCCATATTCTTCCATCAAATCCTGTAAGAAAATGCCCAGGGTCTTGATGGTCCCATAGGAGCATACTTCCACCACGAAGAAGGCCAAGGCCACAGCCCAGCCCCAGCCACCATCAGGAACCTCTGAGTAGACATTTGGACCCAAACAACACCGGGAACTGGACTCCATAGCTACAGCAGGCCACCTGCAGGAAGAAACAGGGATGACATCAGTAATGATGAAGTTCATTTTATAGTCCTTTTTAAAGCTTCAATTTCTGTCCCTTTTAGTATATAATCAGGCTTATTTATGTACAAGTGTTCAATTTAAAGTATTATGGCCTATTCCCTAACAGTGGAATCCTCTCTTGGTAGGTCTTTTCACATCTGATGTCATTCATGCTGTCTAGGCCAGGCTGCACATACAGCACCCCAAGGCTCTCTTCTTCATCTCAGGGGATTTCAGTCATCCAGTACTATAGTATCCACAGTATACATATAAACAGTGAGGGTTCCAGACTAACATTTCATACTGGTGGCTCCAGTGCCACCAAGTCACCTTCTGTTTTAACTGAGGACATCCTGTGCAATCCGATGGGGAAGTTGGTGGAGGCACTTTTAAACTGATATGAACGGTCGAGTTCTGTGATGGTGGGCAGCAGAGTTAACAACCAACTGAAGCATAGGGCTGAAATGCAGCAAAATCTAGGTAGGACTCCAATCAACCAAGTTGCCATGATGGGGAAATAAAGGCTATCAATTTAAAACTGGGATGACTTAAAAGAGACTATAAAAGAGGAGGTAGGATGACAAAAAGTAAAGATTCAGAGTGGAGCAGTCATGCTCAAACTGTGATATAACCGGGAGTATTTAGACTCAAAATCAATAAACTTCTCAAGCAAAGATTTTTGTAAAATATTTTGCTTTTTTTTTACATTTAAAAATGCAATTTTCACCATATACAGTGCCTTGCGAAAGTATTCGGCCCCCTTGAACTTTGCGACCTTTTGCCACATTTCAGGCTTCAAACATAAAGATATAAAACTGTAATTTTTTGTGAAGAATCAACAACAAGTGGGACACAATCATGAAGTGGAACGAAATTTATTGGATATGTCAAACTTTTTTAACAAATAAAAAACTGAAAAATTGGGCGTGCAAAATTATTCAGCCCCCTTAAGTTAATACTTTGTAGCGCCACCTTTTGCTGCGATTACAGCTGTAAGTCACTTGGGGTATGTCTCTATCAGTTTTGCACATCGAGAGACGGAAATTTTTGCCCATTCCTCCTTGCAAAACAGCTCGAGCTCAGTGAGGTTGGATAGAGAGCGTTTGTGAACAGCAGTTTTCAGTTCTTTCCACAGATTCTCAATTGGATTCAGGTCTGGACTTTGACTTGGCCATTCTAACACCTGGATATGTTTATTTGTGAACCATTCCATTGTAGATTTTGCTTTATGTTTTGGATCATTGTCTTGTTGGAAGACAAATCTCCGTCCCAGTCTCAGGTCTGTTGCAGACTCCATCAGGTTTCCTTCCAAAATGGTCCTGTATTTGGCTCCATCCATCTTCCCATCAATTTTAACCATCTTCCCTGCCCCTGCTGAAGAAAAGCAGGCCCAAACCATGATGCTGCCACCACCATGTTTGACAGTGGGGATGGTGTGTTCAAGGTGATGAGCTGTGTTGCTTTTACGCCAAACATAACGTTTTGCATTGTTGCCAAAAAGTTCGATTTTGGTTTCATCTGACCAGAGCACCTTCTTCCACATGTTTGGTGTGTCTCCCAGGTGGCTTGTGGCAAACTTTAAACAACACTTTTTATGGATATCTTTAAGAAATGGCTTTCTTCTTGCCACTCTTCCATAAAGGCCAGATTTGTGCAGTATACGACTGATTGTTGTCCTATGGACAGAGTCTCCCACCTCAGCTGTAGATCTCTGCAGTTCATCCAGAGTGATCATGGGCCTCTTGGCTGCATCTCTGATCAGTCTTCTCCTTGTATGAGCTGAAAGTTTAGAGGGACGGCCAGGTCTTGGTAGATTTGCAGTGGTCTGATACTCCTTCCATTTCAATATTATCACTTGCACAGTGCTCCTTGGGATGTTTAAAGCTTGGGAAATCTTTTTGTATCCAAATCCGGCTTTAAACTTCTCCACAACAGTATCTCGGACCTGCCTGGTGTGTTCCTTGTTCTTCATGATGCTCTCTGCGCTTTAAACGGACCTCTGAGACTATCACAGTGCAGGTGCATTTATACGGAGACTTGATTACACACAGGTGGAATATCCAATAAATTTTGTTCCACTTCATGATTGTGTCCCACTTGTTGTTGATTCTTCACAAAAAATTACAGTTTTATATCTTTATGTTTGAAGCCTGAAATGTGGCAAAAGGTCGCAAAGTTCAAGGGGGCCGAATACTTTCGCAAGGCACTGTACATGTTGTGGCTTGTGGTTGACTAAGTTAACTTGGCCTGTATGTTTTATTGCTTCTTGTGTGCACCATCAAATGGTTCTAAATTTTGCCTGTTATTTGACAAACTCTCTCTTAAACTTCTCAGCTGTTGAATTACCACTGAAAAATGTTAATATACAGTATATAAGATAAAAGGGGGAAGAACAGTTCTAACTTTGCTGGTATATGTTAAAGCCAAATGTCAACAAAATGTTAAGGTATTGTGCATGTTGTTTTTATTTATTAAGTTAATGGACCATTGGTAATTTAATTAAATGCTTCCCAGTGCTGTCGGGGAAAACAAATCTAATTGAAGCAATAAGATTTATAGTAAAATTACTAAAGACATATTAGTTCATTCAACTGTAGTGATATTAAGAAAACAAATTGTACTGTAGAAATGTAGAAATAAGGCTGAAACTTGTTGTACTGAAGTGTTTTACTGATATAGATTGAATTAAAATAAATTTGGTTTGGCTGACAAAGAACATTTGTATTTAATAAAATGCCAATACACTTAAATGTTAAAATGATATTGTTCCCACAAATACATTCTGTTCATATAACACAATCAAGATCAAGTTTACATGATTTTATTAAATAGAAATGGGTGCCATGATTAACTGACATTAATACAACTGTTTGTTTTTTGTTTCAGTGTTAGAAAGGCCTGTTTTATTTGAAATTTACATATATTTTTAGTTTTGGTAACTTCTTTGTTTGTTTGTTTTACCTCAGGCAATTTACTTTTTTGCTTTGTACCACAAAGTTATTCAAAGGTACGGAAGAGTATTAGGGCCACTGCATACATTTTTTTTAAAATTCTGACTTTATTCTCAGAATTCTGACTTTATTCTCAGAATTCTGACTTTAATCTCAGAAGTATGGGTACCTGTAGGGATCCAAGTTCAGTGAGTGCCTTTGAGTCATGCTGGAGAGGAGCTACGTGCTGCCCAGAAAATGTCGGATTTAAGTGAATTTTTGCGTGGTCGAGGAGTCCCAGAAGAAGCAATTTCATTAATGGAAGAGGAAAAGGTGAGTAAAAAGACTCGTGTTACTTTACTGTCTGGGGTTTGTAAAAACACAGAAAATGTTATGGATATGAAGAGTGATAAACGCAGACACAGGTTAGCGTCTGTTAGCTAACATTAGTAGAAATTAACGTTGGTCATTTTTTAAAGTTAATATTGTTATGTACTCAATAATGTACTATTGTTATTATCATTTTATAAAGTTAGTACTATCATGTGTGCCAAGTCGGAGTATCCGCAGTGCAGTGGAGATGATGTCAATGTGTCGCATCCAGGCAGAACAGCAATTAGGACAAGAAGCTAAACGGTTACTGCTAAAATCACACGTATCCCCTGTTGTTCTTATAGCCTTCATATTTACTCTTTATGTGTGTAGCCTGAACGCTACACTCTTAGAGAGTTAACTTACACATTTCACGATTTATCTGCGCCCGGCTGGCTGGCTAACATAACACATGATTTACTAATGTGTACATAATGTCAGTATGGACTCGCTTGTTATTCACTCATAATAGATAAGCACCCGAGCTTAATCTCCATCCAGACTGCCATTTCAAACAAAACGCAACGGAGTTTAACTGTGCCGCAGCGAGTTGAGTGTAGACAGTCTTAGGGCTGGAGTTGGTAAGCTGACATCTTACTTACCGGCAGCGTTGACTCGTGAGGGAGGAAAAGCAACCCTCTGCTGTAATAACGACAGATTTTCTAACTGATATACAGATATTTGCTACGATGAATCCAGTAACATTATCTAGTTATTCTAATATCTCATCCACATACTTCTCCTGTTAAAAAAAAACAAAGTGATCGAACAGTAGTAACACTAGTACTATTCTTTGGTATATTCTCGCCCTGTCTGAGCCAGCCGCATCATTTGTCTTCAATAAATTAAGCCATTTCCTGCCTGTTTTGGCAGCTCTTTACCGGCTCAAGCTGGTATTTCAAACGCGAGTGCGCAAATCTTTCATGAACGCGCAGGGCTTTGCTCATCAAAAACGCAGATGCGGAAACCCGCTCTCTCCCATGAGCGCGTGCACATACATACACACAAAGAGAAAGACAGGCCGAGATAGATAAAGAGAGAGGCAGGGAGAAAAAGTGAGAGAGAGAGCGTGAGGGAGAGAGAGAGAGAGAGGGAGGG